GCAGACTTGCCTGCATGGTCCACACGGATCTGGCGCCCATCCAGGGACTCTCCATTCATGGCTCTCATGGCATCGGAGGCATGCTCTGGGTTGGTGAAGGTGATGAAGCCAAAACCCCGGGATCTTTGAGTCTCCCGGTCCTTGACAACAACCACCTCAGAGATAGGCCCAAAGCTGCTGAAGTGGTCTTCGAGTGCCTGCTCATCGGTGTTGAAGTTGAGCCCTCCCACGAAGAGCTTTCCTTCCTCAGAAGACATGGCAGAATGCAAATCCTGGAAAAAATGAAAAGTCACAAGGGCTGGAGACACGGCGAGCTCTACGGGACCGGGAGAACAGAGCTCAAAAGGGTTCTTAAATTGCATCACACACATAAAGTTATTCTAACAACAATACAAATTAGGAATTAACAACTAGAAAAATAACATGTTCAGAAAAAGTACACTCCCTAACTATTCATGAGTTAAACTGAAATGTTTAGAATTTAAAAGGTACCAAGAACATGTTATATATCAAAAAGTTTGATGATCACCTAAAATCAACTACCAAGAACATATTATATATCAGGATGCTTGATGTTCATATAAAATGTCACTTATGGCTAAGTTCTTACAATATTGTCTGGTTTTGACAAAGTCTAAATGTATAGATCTGGCTGGCCTAGAACACACTATAGGCCTCATGGGACTTCACCTGGCTGTAGTGTTCTGCCTCTGTCCCATGAATGGTAAAGTTTCAAATATGAACCACCATGCTGAGCTTATTTCTCATTTGCAAAGAAGGTTTTGAAAGACAGTAAGACATGGTAGTGTTGCCAGAAAAATGCTAACTCAGATGTGTGCTTTTTACCCCTTTAGTTGTGGCCCATGATGATAGTACATTTCTGAGTCTGTAACTATAGCCTTGTTTTCTAAGTCAATAAAACACAACTCTTTAATATTAGAAACTTGTCTTGATGATTTTAAAATTGAAATGTAATGAGGCAAACCTCACATATTAGGTTTTTCCTGACAACAGAAGTCATATATTTTTAAGTCCATGAGTTCATTATTTTCTCATAATCCAGGTAAATAAACTACAAATTTCTGAAAGACAGTTTTGAAATCAAGGCTATCTAAGCTTTAGGCATTAAACAGTTTCTTCTTGTCACACTCATCATCTTCAAATTATAAGAGGTTTTTTTTTGTTTGTTTTTTTTTTTTTTTGGTGTGTGTTTGTGTAAGATGTTTTAATAAAAAAATATCTTCCAAAGCAAATCTATGAGTTCATACTCCTCAGCACATTTCTAAAGGACATAAAGCCATGGAAGTCCTTATGTCTAAACAGTTTTCCTATGAATTTGGGCACTGAAAACTCAATATAAAAGCAATTACTTGAAGTGACGTTATGTAAAAAATCTGACATTTTTGAAAAGTGTCTTCTTAGCTCTGATATCGTCTTCCATTTGTAACACTCAATTGAAAACTTCTTTGAAATAGTCTAGTTGTCTGAATCCATTTCAATTTTAGAAACACTTCAGTTTCTAGTTCAAACTGCCTTCATTGATTTGGACCATTTGAAGACTATTTAATACTACTTTAATACAGTGCTACAGTTACAAAAAACGACCATTCATTTGTCATATTTCTGGGGGCCAGGAAGCACATCCATCACCAGATGATTTGATATAGCTGAGGCTCCTGTCTTCTTGGATGGCTTCTAGGCATTTTCATATGATGAAGAGCCTGGGGCATGTTCGGAATATATATTCCACTGAGTGTCATGCTTCCTAGGGTTGTTCAACAGACATACCAATGCTCAGTGCCTTACTAAGTATTAAAATTTCACACCGGAAAATAAAATTTGAATTCAGACTTATCAATATCAGTGACTATTTGTTCTCTGGATTCAAAATCCAAATTTATATATTAGCAATTAACTTTTGAAGTTTTGTTTCCATAGAAATGTCAGTTGGTTTGGAATGGAGGCCCAGGTTGCTTTTTATTTGAGGTTTTTCTTTAAATCTGCAGCTATCAGTACCAGGCTAGGTTATCTACTTGCATGTCAAGAATAAAGAGGAGAATGGACATTTTTTTCTCTGCACCTGATGTCACAATTTAGAAGTTCTATAATAAGACAAAAGAAAACCAGGCTGATGGCTAATTAGATTGAAGTTTAGGTAAGAATCCCATTAAACTTCATGATGTCATGGTTTTTCTCTGGTGAGTAGTACTCCATTGTGTATATGTACCAAATTTTATTTATCTATTCTTCAGTTGAAGGACATCTAGGTTGTTTTCAGGTTCTGCCTATTACAAATAATGCTGCTATGAACATAGTTGAGCAAGTGTCCTTCTGGGCTACATGCTGCTTTGATAAAAGTAGACCCACTATTTCTGAGACTTGATGGCTCACAGAACTGGCAGAAAACCGCCATGTTGGGAAGCTAAAGTGGGCAAAGCCAATAGCCACAGCACCATTTCAGTCTTAGAATGGTGCAGTTTAAAGCAATAGGCTCAAGGTAATATAAAAAATAAGCCACGTAAAGATGGCTACCACACAGAGAATCTGGATTATGTTCTCTTTGATATTTGTAACTAAAGAAAAACATTTGATTGCAAAAGCTGTTGAGTTATACCAAAATGTATATTTTAAAGGTACCTTGACTTCAAAATTTGGATGTAAGGATATGTTGCTTTGAAAAGGAGACTCAGCTTTTGTCTCCACAGAAAGCCAGAGGCTATGGATTTGTTCCAGATTAAGATACATCAGGTTTGACCAGCCAAGACCTGCTGAAAGGTCTCTGATGATACCATGGCCCAGATGATCTAACATCCAGAATCATTTCAAGGAAACTGGCTCAGACGATTTAGCCTCATGGACTACTCCATGATCCTTAAATTTTCTTTGTGTCCCCATAAGATACAGCGCCCCCCTCCAGCAGGAAGTAGTAAGAGAAGCTTCGCCCAAATTCCCAAATATACCAAGCTGTCTTTGGAGATGTGTAAAAGTTAAAACCTTCCTTTTTGAAAAAAAAAAAAAATAGGGGAAGTGCTGTGGGATGTTCTGTATGTCAAATCTGTTGCTCTGATTGGTCAATAAATAAAACACTGATTGGCCAGTGGCTAGGCAGGAAATCTAGGTGGGACTAACAGAGGAGAAAAGATAGAACAGGAAGGCAGAGGAGTCACTGCCAGCCACCGCCAGGACAAGCAGCATGTGAAGACACTGGTAAGCCACGAGCCGCGTGGCAGGGTATAGATTTGTGGAAATGGATTAATTAAGCTATAAGAACAGTTAGCAAGAAGCCTGCCACGGCCATACAGTTTGTAAGCAATATAAGTCTCTGTGTTTACTTGGTTGGGTCTGAGCAGCTGTGGGACTGGCGGGTGACAGAGATTTGTCCTGACTGTGGGCAAGGCAGGAAAACTCTAGCTGCATGTCCTTGTGTTATGATTGAGCATTCCTTGGGTATATGCTCAAGAGTGGTATAGCTGGGTCTTGGGGGAGATTGATTCCCAATTTTCCAAGAAAGTGCCATATTGATTTCCAAAGTGGCTGTACAAGTTTGCATTCCCACCAACAGTGGAGGAGTATTCCCCTTGCTCCACATCCTCTCCAAAATAAGCTGCTTCAGTGTTTTTGAGGTTTGCAGGCACATGATGGAACTAGAAAAAGTCATCCTTAGTGAGGTAAGCCAGATTCAGAAAGACAAACATGGTATGTACTCACTCATAAGTGGATACTAGATGTAAAGCAAAGGATAACAAGATTGCAACTAACAACTCCAGGGTGGCTACCTAGTAAAGAGGACCCTGAGAAAGACACAGGGATAGCCCAACAACAGAGAAATGGATGAGATCTACATGAGCAAACTGGGGGGGGGGTGGTGGTTATGGAGGGCAAGGGTTGGGGGAAAGAGACCTTAGGGGAGCAGGAGGTACTAGCTGGATCAGAAGCAGTGTGGGAGAATAGGGAGGGAGATAGCATGATGAATGAAGACCCTAGGGGAATAGGAAGAAACAGAGTGCTAGAGAGGGCCTCAGAAATCCACAAAGATACCTCCACAATAGACTGCTGGCAATGGTCGAGAGAAAGCCCAAGTTGACCTACTCTGGTGATTGGATGGCCAAACACCCTAACTGTCATGATAGAACTCTCATCCACTGACTGATGGAAGCAGATGCAGAGATCCACTGCCAAGCCCCAGGTGGAGCTCCAAGAGTCCATTTGGCGAGAGAGAGGAGGGATGATATGAACAAGAGATATTGAGACCATGATTGGAAAAAGCACAGGGACAAATAGCCAAACTAGTGGAAACACATGAGCTGTGAACCAATAGCTGAGGAGATCCCATGGAACTGGACCAGGCCCTCTGGATAAGTGAGACAGTTGATGAGCTTGAACTGTTTAGGAGGCCACCAGGAAGTGGGACTGGGACCTGTCCTTGGTGCATAAGTTGACTTTTTGGAACCTAGGGCCTGTGCTGAGACACTTTGCTAAGCCTTGGTGTAGGGAGGAGGGGACTGGATCTGCCTCAACTGAATCTACCAGGCTGAGCTGACTTCCCAGGGGAGACCTGGCCTTGGAGGAGGTGGGAATGGGGGGAGGATTGGGGGGAAGGCTGGGGGTGGGTCGGAGGAGGGGAATCCATGGCTGATATGTAAAATTACATTAATTATAAAATAAAAAAAATTTAAAAAAAAGAATCCCATTAAAAACCAATTGGAAAATTGTTGGGTTATGAGTTCCTGTCTAAAATAACTGAAGCCTAATTCAACATAGTGAAAAAAAAAAAAATCCACCTTACCTAAAAGGAATCATCAAATTAACTCTTACCAGGAACTTTCTACTTAGTAAAATACATTCTCCCTGCCTTAATGTTACAAAATCCCTTTTAGAGATTTGTCTTTATATTATATCAGTAGGGGATGAACTGCTTACACTCTGGTCTGCCAGCTTCATGAATTACTGAATGCTCTGACTTGTTAAAATGCCCTTGTGCCCACATGGTCTTTTAACACGGTACACTGTAAACGTGGACTCGTTGTCACTAGAAGCCCTCTTCCATTTGCTTACATTTTACCAATCAGGCATGAGGGAGGAATTGTATCTCTTTGTAGTTTGTTCTGCTTTTTTTTTCTTACCATTTATGAAGCCCTTGTCACTTTCTATCATTTCAAAATTTGTCTTTTTATATTTTTCATATTCTTCTAATATACTAATGGTCTTTCTACTATTCTTTTAAGTATATCTAGTTCTTATTTATACATGTGGTACATCCTTCATCCTAGAACATATTTTTTTCTCTATTGGTCACAGAATTTTTTGTCATTTGAAGGGAATTCAACACTACTTAC